CACACAGAGCTGACGTTACCCTTTTGTTCAAGCTTCATGAATGAAAGGAATGAAAAAAAATCTATAATGTTTCTGATGTTTTTTAAAGAAAAATAACTTTAAAGTACAGGAGAATATTTTTCTTTAGGTGTTCTCCCATCCCTACGATCACCAAAAAGTTAGTGTCTTAACACAGTCCAGAAAATCTTTCATTTTCATTTTCTGCCCTTACAAATTTCTAGTTACAACCAAGAAATTATTTTCTTCTTCATTTCATGTATTTAAATATTTAAATTGTTTCAATTTTTGCTTAATATCATAGGTATTCTTTTTCATATATGTCTCACTTATGCCACTGAATCTCAGATAGGAATAGATCTTTTATTTAAAAAAGTGAAAAATCATCTTTAAGCTCCTAACCTCGGTGTAAGTCACAGAAACAAATCCAGGAGTCATTCAGAATTCACTAGTATGAACTATATTTACAATGGAGGAATGAAAGTCATTTTCCACTGAAATTTCAAAAACAAAAAGCAACTGTACATATTTTATAATTTCAAATGTTGAGAACTTGGCTCTTACAACTCCTTTTCTTTTCTATTTTTTAATGTCTTTTTTTGGCAATTGGGGTTAAGTGACTTGCCTAGGGTCACACAGCTAGTAAATGTCAAGTGTTTGGTCTCAGACTAGATTTGAACTCAGGTCCTCCTGACTCCAAGACTGGTGCTCTATCTACTGCGCCACCTAACTTACCCTCCTTTTCTTTCCTACTGTGGCTTCCAAGGAACCATTTAGGTCTCCTGCAGTAAAATCTGCAATTTCATTTATACCTTAGTCACCTCAAGATGTCTATTTAAATAGGTTCCCATTATCTTGGTAGAGGAACTGTTCCATGGCTATGCATCTTCACAAGAGTCTATTCAGAATTCAGTACTTTATGTGCTCTGGTCAATGAATGTATAATCACAGGACCTTGAATTTCATTCTGATTAAAATGCCATAATCAAGTGCTTTGGGTAGTGGGCTTTAACATTGCCATGAAGACCAAGGATCTCAGATCTGAAAAAAAAAATGAATGGCTAATCTAGCAGAAAAATGTTCTTAAAGACAAGGCAATACTTCACATTGATTGCATTCATGTATCATTTAATAACAATTTCTGTTTTTATTTTCAAATGGAAGGTATTTTCTTTGAAGAGATAGGCAGAAAGTCTCTTGAAACCTCATATCAAACTCCATAGTTAATAGAAGGAGGGAGCATAGGACACAGAAACTGAATGAAACCATTTAGTTCTAAAAGAACACTTTGAAAGTTCAGAGCAGACAGAAGAAATATAAAGCAATTTTATCTTACCAAAGTAGTTCCATTGCAGTCCAAAGATAAAGGGCCAAATTCTTATAGGATGTAAACTCTTTTTCCTGTGTCCCTGGTACCCAGCACTGGGCCCAGCACATAGTAGGCACTTTACAAGTCCTTACTGAATTGAAAGATCTGCAGAATCTATAGGACTTCCTTCAGCAAATATTTGGTAAGTATTAGGTGAACTCTCTATGTTAACTTTTATTATTTTCACCTTAATATAAAATATATGCATATATAATTCATAATATATAATATATAATGCTATAAATTATATATACAATTTATAATGCTATAAATTATAATGTAAATTAGTTTATTATTTTTTTTCGGAGAAAAGACCTTAATGGTGGATGTGGGTAGAAAAAGAAGAAGGAGACATGAAGGTAAAGATCTAGAGGGGGCACAAGGGACTGCATGCAATAAATACTGAGTTAATATTTGCCAAATTGATCAATCAAATAGCATTTATTAAGCACTAACCATATGACAGGAACTGCTGCTGAGGACACAAAGACAAAAAAGGAACAGTAGCTACTGTCAAGAAGTTTACATCCTATTAGGGGAGGCAACACGTAAATGACAAGTATATACACCATTCCAATTGAATATAAAGTAGATCATCCATACAAAGACTGAGTACATTCCAGGACTGATACTCCACTTACTTCCACTTAAGGCACCATATGAAATTATAAAAGGAAAATTAAAAAACCTTAATGTTTCACCTTTTTCCAAGGATAAATAAAAAAATGAATCTCTAATTTTCAACTAAAGTCCCTGAACCTATCCATCTCCACTTCCTCCATTTATTTTCTCTCTCTCCCTCCAAGTACACCAGCCAGTCATGGGTCCTGCCCAATTACTAACTGTCACAAGAGCTTTAACCTGCTCTATTTCCAACCTGGGTCAGTTTGCCCTTCTTGGAGACCACCATATTGCTTTCAGTGTAGACCGTAAGTTGGCTTTAGTCACTTGCAGCTCAAACTCCAAAGCTTTAATGATCTGCCAGCCTCGGTTTCCCTCGGCAGCAGGAACTACGGGTGTGTATCATAACACTCAACTTCTTTTCTCTCCTTATACCTCTGTAATCTTGCCTCTGATTTTGTCATTGAACAGTGCAAAGTCATCAATGATATCTCAGTGGTTAAATTCAATAAATTATCTCAATGCTAATAATTTTTTCCTATTTTTTTTTTAGCATTTGATACTATTGATTACCCCCTTCTTCTGGCTATTTGCTGCCCTCTGGGTTTTCATGGTACAGCTCTCTCCTTTTTCTCCTCCTACATAGCTCATACTTTCTCCATATCTTCTCCTGGATCTTCATACATGTCACCCCTACTAACTGTGACATTAACCCTCTGTCCTGGTCCTCTTCATTTTTCATTCTCTCTTATAGATCTCATCTGTTTTCATGTTTTTAATGATTATCCCCATCAAGATGATTCCCAGATCTACCTATCCAATCCTAGCTTTTCTCCTAAACTAGTGTCCCACACATTGTCATTTGCCTTATACACATTTACAGTTGGATGTCCTCTAGGTACCCAAAATTCAACATGTCCCAAACCAAACTCAGCATCATTCTCCTCCCAAATATTCTCTCTTCCCAATTTTCCTATTACCACTAAGGACACTGTCACACTCACAGTAACAAAGGCTCTCTCAACCTTGGTGTCATCTTTAATCCCTACTTCTAGCTCAGCCCACAAATCCAATCCACTGTCAAATCTTGGCATTTCTACCTTGACAAATCCCTCATAAATGTCTCCTTCTCTCTGTTCATATAGACACCGAGCTAGTTCAGGTCCTTATCACCACATTTGTGAAGTATTGCAACAGCCTTCTAATTGCTCTGTGTCATGTCCATCCCCACTCCAATCCATCCTACATTCAGCTGCTGAAATGATTTTCTTACCTTGTCATGCCCCTACTTATTAAATTCCAGGGTACTACCTCCAGGATCAAAGTCCTCTGATACATAAAGCTCTTTACAACCAGTGCCCTGCTACCTATCCAGCCTTCTTTCACCTCCAGGTAATACTAACCTCTCTGGACTGCTTGCTGTTCCAGGAGATGACACCTCATCTCTCATCTCTCTCTGTTCCTTTGCACTGGCTATCCCTTGTTCCAGGAAGACTCTCCCTCTTACCCATAATTCTCAGTTTCCCTGGTTTCCTTCAAGGCTCAGCTCAATACCCAAATGCTCCAGGAGGACTTTCCAAGCCCCTACCCCCAACCAGCTATTAATGCCTTACCCTTTCAGATCATCTGCTATCTACTCTGTATACATCTTATATGTATGTACCTAGTTATTTTTATGTTTACATTTCCTTTTAAAATGTGAACTCCTTCAGGGCAGGGACAGTATTTTGACCTTCCTCTATATTCCCAATGCTTAACGTAATGCATGACAGACAGTAAGCATTTAGTAAATTCCTATTGATCACATGGTAGAGATATTCTCTGGGTCAAAAAGCTTTGATTGGTGCCCTTGAAATCACACCATACTGAAAGCCACCAATTATACCTCTTAGTTAGGTTGCCCTTAGATGTAACTACATAATAAATATTTTCAATCAATGATCTAGGAAAATATCTGTGGCTCTCAATGGTCTCAATAGCCTCACATGCATTTCCCACGATCATCTGCTAGTACTCTTGATTGATCAAGTCTGAGAAAATCAACAAAAGTATCTGCCTACATCAAAAATTAGCAAGAAAAATATTTCCCACATAAATCAAGTCAAATATGGAAAGAAAAGCGGGATATCCATTAACCCTCCCCTCTTTGGAATGGTATTCTGGAACATCTCATAGGAACTTGTAAGAAGTGTAGCACTCCAGATGTGTTAACTTCCTGCTTTGTTAACCATGTGATAGAAGCTTGAGACCTTGTTATATGTGAGGGATGACTATAAAATTACAAGATTACCCTAGCAGTTCTTTATGTAATACAGCTCACAGATTCAGTCACATTATAACATGCGTACGTCTTGTAGTCAGTTTGATCCTTCTAACTTTGTCACACAGGACCATTTGAAAGAATTTTTTCCATGTTATATTGTCTTAATTAATGTTCTCTGAAAATAGACATGACCATTGAGGAAACTAAAATGTGCATATGCTGGACCATTAACTTAAAGGTATTAAGAGATCTAATTTGAAACAAGTTCTGCCATTTTCTAGAAACTTCCCAAAGTTTATAAATGAAAAACAAGCTACCCTATTGTTCATACCATATCATTTCTAGGTATCCATAAAACTCATCTCAACTGAGATCTGGTCCATTCATTTCTAGAGCAACAATCTTCCAACCTTATTGCATCATATTAGACTGAAGAGAAAACCACATTTTATTCATTCCAAAGACATGACAATATTTCCATGATGAAAAGTTTTTTTTAGTGTTATTTAAATAACACAAACTAGAAATGGAAATAAATCTCAACTTTGAAAGCCTGCCATTTGACAAGACCAAAATTTCATCTCAAAGTGGTTTCTATTTTTTTCCTTCTTCACAATTATGTCTCCCGTCAAAATCATATATCCATGGCAAATGGCATGCAACTAATTATCATATCTGAAAGGCTGTGGTACACATCGTTTCACTCAGTAGTAATTAAGAGTAATGTGTTGGATAGAAAGTTGCACTTACCGGTGGATCGGCCCCCTTAGAACCAGCCAGGGATTCGATATCCTGAAAAAGGAAAGAGGCATTGATTGTAAAAGACTATTCAGAACAGGAAAACTGTTCCAAACCTACCGATTATTATTTGCTTGAAAGTTTCATTGCATCAGTAAATGTGTTGAGATTTCTCTCCACAACATAAAAGCATAAAAGTAGGCTGGACAAAGTAGGGATATGCAGAAAGTACTCAAAGGATGAGCAATTTTTATTATATTTCTCATTAAAATGTTTAATAATCCAGAGAGATGGTACAACTTTAAAAAAATAAAGAACACTGATCATTTCAAAAACTATATATGCTCAGAGGATGACTACAAATGGGAAAGAAGTTCTGACATTCTTCCATTTGCTTAACTTTCAATGTGAAGGAAGAATTTTAGCTAAAGAAAATTGGGTGATATAACTGACTGTAAAATAAGATGAGATGTTACAAATTTTAACAGTTTTCATTATGGAGGCAAAAGCAAAAAGGGAAACCCTTTTTAGTTATTTCCCAGTTCAATCAAATGTTGTCATCTTTTATGAACCCTTATGTAGCCTCTCTTACATACTTTATATATTCCACATTGTAATATGGTTGTGTACCTACCTTTCTCCCTTAAACAATTTTAAGTTCCCTAAAGTTAGGAAGTATGTCTTATTCAACTCTGTATTACTTCCCTCTTGTCCTCGAACCCAACAGTGTCTTGTGATCATGAGACACTTAAGAGATATATTTTAATGACTTTTTGAAAAATGACTTATTATTTTTACAAAATAAAATGTCCTTACAAAAATAACTTATTTAAAAAACAAAATCTCTTTTAAAAGAAAAATTTTAAAAAAATGTGTTTGGCCAAAAGGTTTTCCCAATATAAATAGTATATATCTCTGAGTAATGATAACAATAATACATGTAGCTAATGTATAGTACACAAGTTTCAGAAAACATTTTGCATTTGTAATGTCATTAGATCCTCAAAACAACTCTTTAAAGTTTGGGGCTATTATTACACTTTCATTATATTGCTACATTATTACGTGGTTTTACAGATGAGAAAATGGAGGTGGAGAGAGCTTAAATGACATGGCGATGGTCACACAACTAAAAAGTCACTGAGGCAGAATTATAATTCAAGTCTTTCTGCCCTTTAAGTCTAGAATTCTATCCACTATTATTCCACCTGTAAGGAAACATTTCAAAATATAAGCTCTTAGAGATTGAAGATTATGCTATTTGCATATCTCCATAATACCTAACACGTTACAGCAACTCAATCTGATTATACGTTGATCAAAAGACAAATAGCATGGCTGGCTAAGATTGTATGGCAGAGTTTAGCATAATGTTCATGGGAATCGACATTTGCTCCTTTTCCTTTGATCAACTCTATGTAGCTATCCCTTCTAGATGCAGTACATCAAGAAGGGAAGAAGCATGACTTTTGTGAAGTGAAGATTCCATTGAATTTAGGCTTTGTTTTCTTTAACCTACATAAACAAGTAAATGAATGAAAAAGGAAGGCCAAGACAGAGGAAAGAAGGAATGGGAGGGGAAACAGGAGGAAGGGAAACACAAGGAGGAGAGGCAATAAGGGAAAAGCAAACCAGTAAAAGAGAGGAGGAAAAGAAAGAAGGAGGAAGGAAGGGAGGAAAGGAGGAAGGAAGGAAGGAAGGAAGGGAGGAAGGAAGGGAGGAAGGGAGGGAGGGAGGGAGGAAAGGAGGAAGGAATGAAGGAAGGAGAGAGATAAAAGGCAGGATATATTGACAAGTAACATATTTTTTTTTTCTAGAGTAGGGAGGTAGGCTTAGTCTCTCTACTCTCCTTAAGGTCTGAACAGGTTGCTGGAAGAATCTTCTTCTGTCCTCAGCACTGGAGCTCATCCCAGATGTAGAGGGATGAGAAAATTAGAAAAGAAGATTGTGACAGAGACATTGAGATAAGCACAAGAATTGGAATAAAAACCAGAGATAAAATCATCAGCAGGCCATTATTCTTTGTGCAAGTCAGGTCCCAATTCTTATTATTTCATTTCTGATTCCTGTCCTACTACCAACTTCTAAGCACCTAAAAACTTGGTCTGTGTGGTTCAGGGGGGAGCAAGTAGCAGCAGTCAATCAACAAGCATTTATGTAGTGTTTACCATGTGTCATGAACTTTGTACTGATCAAATGAGATAACATCAGTAAAGCACTTTGAAAATCTTAAAACAGTCATAAATGCTAGTTAATAATAATAAAATAGTGAATAAGGCTAATAATTACATTAATTACATGTAATTACATTACATTAACTACATGTAATTATATTACATTAAATACAAGAATATTTGTGTAGAGGAAAGAAAGAATGGGCATCCTGTTTCATGTTAAAAGCTGCTTAGTAGGCTAAGGCAATATAGTATGGAAACTCTTTCTACCAAGGCAAAAACTCATCTATAGTCAGTCAACAAGCATTTAAGTATTTACTGTGTTACAGGCACCGTGCTAAATACTGAGGATACAAAGAAAAGCTCTAACAAACACAAAACCACTGTCCCTGCCAGCAAGGAACTCACGATCTAGAGGGAGATAAAATGCAATCAAATATGTAGATACAGGATATATAAAGGGGAGAATAAAAAGTAATCTCAGTGAGAAGGCATTAGCATTAAGGAATCAAGGTGTGCCAGTCAACCCAGTTTCATGCATTGGAAAAATGCATGTCTACAAACAAAAACCCACTGTCACTTTCTCCTTTAGCCATCTGCCCATGCTGACTTCAAGTAATTAAACTTCATCATAAATTAAAATAATAATTTTTAAAAACCCTCTGAATCAAATATAATATCCCACAGAAGAGGAGTTTAGGGAGTATCACTTGCAAAACAATCCCTTCACTTATCTTGGGTGTGTTGGTCTATGGAAAAACAAAGCTCCTATCAGTGGCTCTTTTCCATAGCCAAGAATACATTTCAGTGATATCTAAGATTTAGCTCTCTTCATTCACTTGGGCAGCTTGTTGGTACAAGGGTAGTGTTAGACTTGGAGACAAAAAGAGTTCAATCCCACTGTAGGTGCTTTATTATTTCTATGTCCATAGCAGGTCACTTAACTACTCACTGGTTCCATTTCCTCATCTGGTAAGATAGTGACAGTAACATCTCCTTCTTCACAGTGATGTGAGGAATAAATGACATGGCACATGCAAAGTGCTTAACAAGCCTTATAATATCATATAAATGCAGGTTATTATTAATTTTAAGTTTGTAGCTCCAGCTATATCCTTCCCATATTTCTTCTCTTTCTTATTGAATTTTGTCATACAAAAGAGATTTCTATAATTAACCATAAAAGCAATGCATTTCTAAGACTAAGATTATGTGTGTGTATGTATATATGTGTGTACACACACACACACACACATACATATATATATATATATATGTATGTATGTACACACATAGATATGTACATAGCTACAAATCTGGTATCCTCACACAGTAAAACAAGATCTTTGCCATTTTCCTGACATTTATACCACCACACAAGTGAATATCTGTTTAGTCATTAGTTTCTAATTAAACATTACATCAATATTCTCTTTGAATGCCACCGATAGTTACCCAAGTCTCAAAGCCCATATTTTGAACACAGGCAGCTTGAGGCAAAGGTAACTCTGATAGCTGCCTGTGGCTCTATCCCCTCAAGGGACCCACAAAACCATGCCTGAAATACACTTGGCAGTACCAAGCCTGCTTCTTCCCAGGTGTTTCCCTGGTAACCACAGAGAAACCACAGTTCCTAGCAAAAGCTGTAACCTCAGGTTCATGAGTTCGTAAGATTTAAACCCAGAAGAAAACGCAGAGATCATCTAGTCCAGTGGAGTCAAACTCAAATAGAAATGGGAGCCAAAATATCATACATAAGGATCTCAGCAAGCCACATATTAATTTTAAATGTATTGCTATCTCTGCCTTATTGCATTTTATTTGTTTTGCAGATATTGCCCAATTCCATTTTAATCTGGGTCAGGTCACACTTGGGAGTGCATGCCATGTGTCTGACTCGCCTGAAACTCTGAGCTCCTCACTTTACAAATGAGGAAACTGAGGGTCAGAAAACTAATTTGTCCTAGTTATACAGTTCACAAATCAATGGACATAGTTTCAAACCTAGGTTTAGGGAAGGGATGGATTAGCCAAGAGGTGGTAAGTTCCTGTTGTAGTTGGGTGTAAGTTGTAGGGATTTAGCCCTTCCACTTAACAAATCCACCCTCCAGAGAATCCATGATATCTGTTTACCAGGTACAGTACTTGTATTCCCCAGGTAATTTTCGAAACTAATAAAAATGCAATAAGCTCTTTCAATTAAAACTTTTTTATATCTTTCTATTCATATATATATATATATATATATATATATATATATACACACCCACACATATGGAGGGGGGGAGAGAGAGAGAGAGAGAGAGAAAATAAACACCTGAAGAAGTTACTGTACCAATGTTTATGAAAAAAAGTGAGCAAAATTTACCTAGGCAGAGAGAAATGGTCCTAATTGCTTCCTTTGCCTCAAGACCCATCTATCTGTAATCCAATTCATCCTTCACCAGTTGCTAAGGTGATTTTCCTAAAGCACAGGTCTTACTGTGTCACTCCCTTGTTCAAAAGGGTCCAATGGCTCCCTAATGCCTCTAAGATTAAAAAGAACTTCTTCTATTTACTACTTAAATCCCTTCACAACCTGACTCCAGCCTCCCATTCCAGACTTATTACACATTAGTCCCTTTCATGAACCAGTCCTGTGACATGACATTCCAACTCCTTTTTCTGGGGCTTTGTACATGCTATCTCTCCATGCTGGAATGCAGTCCCACCTCTGCTTCACCTCTTAGAATCCGAATCATTTATGAAAGCTCTACTCTTGGGTCACATATTATTAGACCTTTCCTGATTCCATCAGCTGGGTGTATCTCTCTGCCCCTCAATAACTGAATTATATTTACTTTGTGTATATATTTACTTGTATGTTTATATGTTTTTTTC